CTATATATCCATCAACCGAGCCTCTTTTTCATCATTTCTCTTGTTTCTCTTTCATTTCTTTCTTCTCCAACTTTCAACACCTTTCTTTACCACTTATTTCTCTAACTTTCAACAATTTTACTTCAATTTTTAGTATTTCTTTATGTCTTCATTTTTCTTTTTCTTCTTCTTCTTCATCACTACTCTTATTTCTTCTTTTTAGTATTTTATTTTCAAGTTTATTTCATATTCTTCACATTTTTTTTCCAAAACTAATATAACTAATTCCTTTCTTTATCATCTCTCTTTTACTTTCATTTTCTTTTCTTACTTGAATATGTAAATTTCTCTTTATTTTCTATTATCTTCTATATATGTTTTTGGTACTTGCACTAATGGTTTAATTTTTCATTTCCAAGGTTGCTTATTTTGGTGAACAATGGGGCAGCATTTTGGAGGTAGTTTTATACTTATATTTTTATTTTTTCCATATTTTATGTTAATTTATTTGCATGCTTTAATTTGTTTGATTTAATTTGTGATTATATATATATGAATTTGACTTATTTTTGTATTCTTTTTGCAAATGTTAAGTATTTTTGAGTTATTTTTGCTTCCTTGCATATATGAAATTTAATCATAATTATTAATATATAAGTATAATAATAATTAAAAACTACAAAAGGTTAAAAATATAAAATAAATAAGATTTGTATATAATTGATAATAATAAAATTGAAATTTTTAATAATAAATTTTATTATAATATTTATTATGTTGATTAAAATTCATTCAATAATTTTAATTTTTTTGGCAACCTACATGCTTATTTTAGTCAATAATTTTGACTAAAATAAGATGCATAATTTATATCATAAAAATATTTCAATCATTACTTTTAATTGAAATATTATGAGGTGAAATGCAGTAGTTATTATCATTTCGGTTATTTTTTAACCCAAAAAATGCAATGAATTTCCAAAAAAATACATTTGATATTATTTTAGTTATCTAATTTGACTAAAATGGTGGCAAGAGAAATTTACCATTCACCTCATTACGGTCAAGCTTCTTGACTGAAACTATTTTGTTTAAAATACCAAAAATATCCTTCTCCATTAATTCAATCATGTAATTGCATTGAAATATAATACCTAAGAGTTGGTTATTCGTGACTCTTTTGATCAGTGATTTTTTTTTTTTTTTTTTGATCAGCAAAGAAAATTATTTATTAATTTTTTAATGGAGCACAAGGGGTGCTCCTGCCCTAATACACTTAAAAGGAACTTCATAACCCAAACAGTCCATAATCTAATAATTTTTTAATTTTTTTTGATCAGTGATATTGACCGAAATATATGAGTAAAATAATATTTATTAAATTTGGTTAAATTATTTGTCCAGATATAAGTGTTGTTTAATGATTTATTCAACCACTTTTTCTATCAAGCATACTAATCAAATTAAATTTTATTTTGGTCAAGATGAAATTTTCTCAGAAATTCTATTTCATACAGTAGATATTTGGTCCAACAATTTGGTCAAGCAAATTGACCAAAGTACTCTTTGTTCGATCAAAAACTGGCTTTCTTTGGTTAAGATGCTTAACCGAATTACCCCATTTTTTTACTAGTGCCCCACCAATGACATTGTCACTTTTGCATTGATTACTCTCATGTGCAAGCTAGACTAGCTATCCATTCATAAAAACTTTTTTTTGTAAAATGATATTGTATGCTAACACGACAATGGCATTCTTGGTTCATACATTTCCTACATAGACACATAATGTGACTATTAGAAAATTTTGGATTGGACGAGGAAAATCATAACCCAGAAAGAACTCCACACCAATTTTGAATTCATCAATAAAACATCTATTATCATCTAAACAATGATACATTCAACATCAATCTCTCAGTATGTGATATATTTCTTTAAATTCTTATTAAAAGAATTCATATCCCCACATAAATAATAAATCAAATTTGATAATTTGGTAAACATATTTTATAAACTAAAATTAAAAATTAATAAAGTCAGTGTAATTATTTATACGGATTGACATGATTCGGTCCGTATATGATAGGTTTGAAATATCAATTTTCTAGTAGTGAATTCATAGTCTTGCTAATGCCAAATGGATTAGATCAGATCACAACATACCCTCTGTAGGAGCTACAGTCAACCAAGACAATAGATGATCCAGAAATCAAAGCTTCGTTAGATTTGGGTATGAAGACAGAGAAGAAAGGGGGTGGGAAGATAAAGAAAGGTAAAATCGATTAAAATCAAACTTGTAGGGAAGGAAAAAAAAATATGTATTGGTTGTTTAAATTCAAACATTGATTTCATTCTCTAATTTTCACAATAATAACAACCCCCCAAAATCTATATGCTTTTTACAATGAAGAAAGGTGATAAACTTGAAGAAGCAATAGAAGCTGAGCTTGTGGATGCAACCACAAATGATGCTGAATCTTTAGATGCTACAATTGGAATTTAGACATGATCTTTTTTAGGAGAAGCAATCATTAGGCACATTCCTTACGTATTATCATTATATTTAGCTAACACCTAATTTTTTTTGTATGTCTATTATATTTTAATTATTAAACATTTAAATTCTTGCTTTTGAAATTACTTTGTGATTTCAAACTTATTCAATTCCATTGTTTTGTAAAAATTGGTGGGCAATATCTTTTTATAGAGTCTATTGAAAATTTTCTACTCTATTTGATGTAAGTAGGGATGGCAATTTCCCCCGATCACCGCAGGGCCCCGCGAGGCCCCATGGGGCCCCATGGGGATCCCCGTCATGGGGACGGGACGAGGAGGAATATTCCTCGCGGGGATGGGGAGCATTTTCCCCCCGCGAACCCTGTCTCATGGGGCCCCTCGGGGATCCCCATCCCCGCAAAAATTAAAATAAATATAAATTAATTTTATTTTAAATTTAATTCATCATTCAAACTCAAACCTAAATTCAAACCCAAACACAAATCCAAACTCAAGTTCAAACTCAATTCAATTAAAATTAAACTTAATCCAATTTTACCTAACCTAACCCAACCCAACCCAATCCATAAAAATTAACCGAATTCATTCCCCTATTTACATTTAACCTTAACCCTAATTCATTTCTCAATTTTCATTTTCACCTTCCCCTCCATTGTTGGGTTAATTTTTGTTTATGTTTAGTTTAGCTTGGATTAATCTTTGTTTATGTTTGGAACAAATTTGTTAATTGTTGGTTTAGTTATTTATGTTGAATTGATTTTTTTTTTTATATATTTGGACAATTTATATTTAAAAATTTTAGTTAATTGTATTTGAATTTTTAGAATTTTATTTATTATAATTGAATATTAATTAATTATATGTAAAAGACAAAAAAAATTATAATTTAATATTAATTGATGGGGAATGAGGATCCCCGCGTGGGGAACGGGGACAGGGACGGGGAGGACCTTCCCAACCCTGTGGGGCCCCGTTGACATCCCTAGATATAAGAGGCATTGTTGGTGAGATCCTTGCAAGTTACATATATGAAGGGCGGCAAATTGTTTTGTGTCTTCAAAAATATATAAGCAATAGAAGGATTGTTGCAAGGAAAAAATTGAGTGGTTTTGGCCGTCATTCTTACTAATAATTGCATGTCAATACGTTAAATTATGTATTTAAAGTGAATATATTTACCTTTTACTTTCTCTCTTGTGTTTTTTTACTATTATTTTTTATGTTTCAAACTTTCTTTCTTTAGGAAAGAACTTATGGATTTTATTTCAATTTAAATTATTACTTCTAAATTACTTCTTTCTCTTGAAATCTTCTTTCTATAAGTATGTACTCGGAAATTAGGCAATAAAAATGAATATGTGCATGTAGTAGCTTCCATGAAAACTTGATAAGAGCATTCAAAGTGAAAATATACATGAATCATTTTAAAATATCAAACTCATTATTATATCATATCTTAAAAATTATAAAAAGTATGTCATTCTTGAACTAATAAAATATGCTTCATGAGTTAGTTTGAGAAATTTATATTACTAATTTTAAGTATTTAAGATATACATTTATATTTATAAAATTTAGTTATACTATATATTATTTTTATTTATTTTCCATTTTCCTTCCTATTTTTCTTTTTTTAAACGTTCCCGTGACTCAGTTACGGGTACCATCTAGTTTGGATCCTTTTCATGGAAAAGATGAGCATCTGGAGAACCATTTGGCATGTAATCATAGGCCAATAATTTCCTTGTACCTTCAGAGCAGAACCCAAGAAGCCTAACAAGATTATAACATGTTGGATTGTCCCAACAGTGCTGACTTCTATTCGAAACTGCTTCTTCCCCTGAGTGATGCTCTCTAGCTTCTTCACAGCTATGACAGTGGAGTCCGGCAATGTTCCTTTGAAAACAGAACCAAAGCCTCCTCCTCCTAGTTTTTCAGAGAAATTCTTTGTGGCATTTTGCAAATCTCTATAACCAAAGGCCACTAGAGAACCTTCTAGCTACTACCTGCTGTCTCCAAAATCTCCCTTTCTGGCCGCGTGGCAGATAAGACTGCGAAGGCATGCCACTCACTTTGCTCAAAGTGAGAAAGAGGGATTCCCAGTGACCCTCACTACTTCCAAGCGTGGAACTCGGCTGCGAGTCGATGGAAGAGCATCGGTTAAATAAATTATGAGGTGCGCC